CCCCTCCAGTGTCTATTTTATAATATAATGCAAGGAAAACCAAGATTCAAAAGACAGCCAAGCTTCTTAACATTATTTCCCCCTTTTCCCCATTCCAACCATGGTTCAATCTCTGTATCCCAGAACTCTGTTGTTCTCAGGTTGTGCATATATCATTATTTACCTCTGTCCCACTTAGTCCATTGAGACCCGTCTAATTGTTCTCCCATCTGCTTTGTCCATACCTACTTTTTAAAAAAAAGCATAGTCAGATGTGATCAGTGGATACCATCAGTCATTGCTCCAGGACTCTTAAACAATTTAGTTTAATGCCATCCTGTAATTACTTTGTATTTAATGAGTTCCTTCAGGATCTAGACACCGCTGGGATCCAGGTCCCCTTAAGACCAGGGAAATGTAGAACAGGAGATGCAAGAAGGGTTACTGTAGACACACAGGAGGTGACTATAGAGCCTGTAGCTTTATGTGTCTATAGTGAATAAAGGAAAGCAGAATGTTGAAACTGGGCTATGGAGTCACCCTCAGACACAATGAGTAAGTTGGGCAGATGGGTGAATGAGCCATTAGGATTCTTCCTACTTGAGGGTCTTAATTTCCCGGCTTCATGATGTACTTCAGGATAGTATTATTAGGGTATTATATCCTTTCTCTCCACTGCCATTCTGTCCCCTAAGACTCCCCCACATTCTAGATATATGTCTTATTAATATTCACCAGCTACAATCTCTTCATTAATGATAACATTCATAATCATTTTGTATACAATATGATCTCCCAAATTGTATCACTTCAGTATAATGATATCTGTGTGAAATGGCATTTAATACAGTAGCTCTTAAGCTTTGACTGTACATTCACATTCATTAGGGAGCTTAAAAACCTTGTACTGTCTTCCCTCCCTTTGTACGCTGATTACTTTTATCTGAAGGAGCTCAATGATCCGTATTTGTAAAATTCATTTTATGTTAAAGTTTGAACCATGTACTAACTGCACTGGCATCTCCTGTGTGCTTATTAAAAATGTAAAATCATGTCTATGGAATCAGAATCAGTATCTTAACAGAATCTTCAGGGTATTTGCATGAATCTTTCGTTTCAGAAGCACAGTGCTAGGTGATTCTTTGTGCAGTCCAGGTTGAGAGTAACTGATTTAATGGGTGTACAGTGAGAAGCTCATATGCCTTCTTGTTGGCAGCATCTGGAAGTGATGTGTCCCTGATTTTTGACCTGTCATATTCTTGACAATAGTGATAGAACCCACTCATTTCCAACTAGATGTTTCTTCCCATCATAATGTTAGCACAAATCAAATGTAAAATCTGTTGGTATTACTGGGTTAAACAGCATCAGCAGTGTGGAATGCTCAGCAGCTGAATTCAGTGTTGTCTTTTCAGTGATTAATTGCTTAAACTCCTTAATGTCCTTCATTGCTTTCTTTGTCAGTTCTGAGACACACTGAAGTATGGATATCTGGGGAAGAGCTTGAATGTGCAATTCAGAGTAGAAACTATCTTTACTTGTTGCTTCTCTCATAATTTCTGAAATTCCCCCATGAAACTCTTCACAGCAATATAAATGGCATCTTGTAGATTTAAACATGATGCTTAGACTGAGTCATTAGCATGAGTAAAGTCACATTTTATGTGAGGTTTTCAAATATCTTTCATGATATCCACCAAGTCTGTAATACAGTGGCAAATTTTAATGCTAAATGGTTAACACTTGTAAATCTTTATTCTGAAAGAATTTAATAAGAGTAGGTATTCTAGCTTAACCAGAATATTTGATGCCTTTGAAATTGGAGCAATACAAGTCCCAACTGAATGACAGTCAATATATGTTCATGCCACACTGGCTGCATGTCAGGGACATTCTAGGTGCTGGTGCTGCAGCAGTCAAGAAGGCAGCTATGGCCTCTCCTACATGGAGTTAAATTCTGGTAGGGAAAGGGCTACAGTAATCCTGAATGCATTGAGTGCTATGGGGACAAATACAAATTGCTGTGGAAACATAGCAGTGGGCTCTGACCTAGTCTGGGAGTCAGAGAAGGTTTAGCTGAGCAGGTGAATGTAATGTTATAATTGAAGGCTAAGTAGGATTAAGGGTCTTGGTGTGGCACTGTAGGATAAACTGTAGGATAAATTGCAAGATCAGCAGCTCAAACTAAACCGCTGCTTCTCAGAAACCCTTATAGGATTGCTATGCATCAGAAAGGAGTACTGCTATAGTGCTGTAGATTTGGCACTGGGCTGCCAACCACAAGATCTGAGGTTCAAACTCACCAGCTGTTCCTTGGAAACCCTATAAAGGACCGTTATGAGTTGGAATAGACTCTACAGCTCTTTAAATGAGTCAGAGCAGAATGGATTGCAATTAACAACAATAAGAAGGAGGATAAATCTAAGTGAAGGAGAGTAGAGGGGAAATGGGTGCTAGCCATGAGGAACAGAAGTGTCAAAGATTAGAGGCCTGAAATGATGAATTTTAAGTCTAGTATTGCAGGAGAGTAGAATGCACCTGTCATTTTGTAGCTAGGTGATGTTGTGGAAGTAGACAAGGGCCAGGTCATTGCGTACATTTTGTGCCTTTGAGAAGAATTACCCCTTATCTTAAGAACAATGAGAAGCCACTGAAAAGTTTAGGCAGGTGAGGGAGATGATCTGATTTTCATCTCAGATGCCACAGTGTAAATTATAAGAATGAAGTAGAGTGAGACTGGGAGCTGGGAGATGTTTCTGCAGGGACTGTCTCAAAAGTCCAGATAAGATTTGATATCAGACAAGGCTAAGGGAGTAGCAGTTGGGATACAGAATGGATGAGTTTGTAAGAGAAATCAGTGACAAATGTTGTTTTGTTAGATTTGATGATGATGTTGAGAAAAAGAAATGATACTGACTTAGTCACCTGGATACCTTATACGGAGAATTGGGAAACTAGAGGATGCAATTGCAAGAGGGGCAGGTTGGGATAATGAGCTATGTTCTGGATCTGTTGGGGTTAAGATGCACATGCTATATCCAAGGAAAGATAAACAGTATATGCTTCTGAGAATTAGATGGCAATATCATAGGAGTAGATGAGATTTTCATGGGGTATATGTACAAGTAAGGCTCTGACAGAGCACAAGCTAATTATAGTCACTGAGAATGGATGCTTGGTCAGGCAAATAGGTTGGAAATAGCCCTTAGTGTATCACAGATGCTAAGAAGTGTAAGTTATTTGGGAATAAAAAGAAATTGCTATATGTTAAAGTAAAAAATACCATTTTGATTACTGAAATCCTGATTATAGAGATCCAAAATATAGAAATTTTCACTTGGTTTGAGCTGTAAACTCAGCGGTTCTTACTCACTATCCACTCCTTGGAAAACCTATACAGGGTCACTATGAGTCAGAAATGACTCAATGGCACTTAACAACAACAAAGGGCCTAAAATCAAGTATTATTACAGAACTTCTAATCAACTTTATATCACAGAAATATGTGTTCTTAATCAATTTTTAATGATTGCTGTTATTTCTCCCTAAAGATATTAACGACAAACATGCCAGGAAAGAATCAAACCATCATTTCTGAGTTCATCCTCCTGGGTCTGCCCATTGATCCAGAGCAGCAAAATTTGTTCTATGCTCTGTTCCTGGCTATGTATCTTACCACAGTCCTGGGGAACCTCACCATCATCATGCTTATTCGCCTGGACTCCCACCTCCACACACCCATGTATTTGTTTCTCAGCAACTTGTCCTTCTCTGACCTCTGTTTCTCCTCTGTCACAGTGCCCAAATTGCTGCAGAACATGCAGAGCCAAGTCCCATCTATCCCCTATGCTGGCTGCCTGACCCAGATGTACTTCTTCCTGTTTTTTGGTGGCCTGGAGAACTTTCTCCTTGTTGTCATGGCTTATGATCGCTTTGTAGCCATCTGTTTCCCTTTGCATTATACCACCATCATGAACCCCCAGCGCTGTCTCTCCCTGGTGGCACTGTCCTGGGTGCTGAGCACATTTCAAGCAATGCTGCACACCCTGCTCATGGCCAGGTTGTGTTTTTGTGCAGACAATGTGATCCTCCATTTTTTCTGTGATATGTCTGCTCTGCTGAAGCTGGCGTGCTCTGACACTCAAGTTAATGAGTTGGTGATATTTGTTATGGGAGGACTCATTCTTGTCATCCCTTTCTTACTCATCATCGTGTCCTATGTACGAATTGTCTCCTCCATCCTCAAGGTCCCTTCTATCAGGGGCATCTGCAAGGCTTTCTCCACCTGTGGTTCCCACCTCTCTGTGGTGTCACTGTTCTATGGAACAATCATTGGTCTCTACTTATGCCCATCATCGGATAATTCTACTATAAAGGAGACTGTCATGGCTGTAATGTACACTGTGGTGACTCCCATGCTGAACCCCTTCATCTACAGCCTGAGGAACAGACACATGAAGGGTGCCCTGGAGAGAGTCTTTTGTAAAAGAAAACCCCTTTCCTTTCTGTGACTGGTGATTTTTACATTATTTAATTGTTAAGTATATACAAAGTATTTCAGACTTGTTTCCCCCCACCATGGAGGATTCCTGTTGTGGCATTGTAGGATAAACCCTGGGCTGCTCACTGCAAGATCAGTGGTTCAAACCCACTAGTCGATCATTAGAAACCTTATTCAGGCTCATTATAGGTCAGGACTGACTCTGCAGCACTTAAAACAACAGTAATAATGGACATATCTGTTACAATAAAATATTATGTCATTCTCCAATATGTAAAAGCCACACATACAGTTACATATCTGAGCTATGTAATTGAACTAGGTCTTAGTGATCTGCCAATGACACCTTTCTTTCTGTGTTTCCACTGGACAAGTATAATTTAAGAAATATTGTTTTATGGTATGACACTTTCTAAAAAAGTTGGCAATGGTAATACCATGTGACTCAGCAATCCCACTACTAGGAATATACCCCAGAGAAATTAGAGCCATGACACGAATAGCTATATGCCCACCCATGCTCATCATAGCATTATTCACAATAGCAAAAAGATGGAAACAAACTAAGAGCCCATCACTGTATGATTTGATAAACAAACTATGTCACCTTCCACCTAGTTACATCTATTTACAAAAGTAGATTGCAGTTTATACAATTTTTAGTTATGCCTTTCATTAAGATTGTATTTCTAGAACTGTGTTAATATTCTGCATGTGGTACTCAAAGTAACAATAGTTTTTATAGCAGATAAGCCCTGAAATTTAAATGGTATAATACAGACAGTATTTAAATGATATAATGCAGAGAGAAGTGTCAGTGGCAAGATAAAAAATTAATGCTATTGTTGTGAAGTGCTGTCAAGTTGATTCCAACTCAAAGAGACTCTGCATAGGGTTTCCAAGGAGCAGCTTGTGTGTTTGAACTACTGACCTTGTGGTTCACAGTCCACTGCTTATCCTACACTGCCACACCAGGAGTCCAAAAGATTAATAGTCTATGTAAATTCTTTCCCCAATACCAGCAATCTAGGAATCAACTTGATGGTAATGGGATTGGTTTTAGATTTTCTAACAGAAAAGTCTGACTAAAATGTCAATGTAAAATTGATTTTAATTCAGTAGAAATGAAAATATATGCAGTGACTATAGGAAGAAAACTTTAAAACTGACTGAAAGATATTAAAGGAACCATAATAAATGAATAACCACAATGACTCTGGGAAAGCTGCCTCAAAATACATCTTAAGAGTTTTTTAAATTTTTAATTTCTATACAATAAAATCCACCCATTTAGAATTGTACAGAATAATTAATATGCTCTGAAATTTCAATATTTTAACAACGTTAGTTCTCAAATACACTCAGTATAATCCAAATCAGAATTCCAATGTAATTAGTGATTGGAAACTGACAAGATTATTCTCAAATTCACTTGAAAGAGAAAATAGGGAAATTTTTCAATAAATATTGAAAAATACCCAAACCACTATCACTGAGATGGTTTAGACTCATAGCGATCTAATAAGGCGCAGTAGAACTGCCCCATAGTTTTTCAGAGGACATAAATGTTTGCAGAAGCAGACTGCCTCAGTTTTCTCTCAAGGAAGGACTTGTAAGTTCCAACCTCCAACCTTTAGTTAGTTAAAAAAAAAAAAAGTCAAATCATAAAATCGGTGTTTACAACTGTCACTATTAACATCTATTTGGAAGAAAGAAAGAAAGAAAGAAGAAAAAAGAAAACAGAACGACCCAAAATTTTACCAGTGTATATTGATTCAGGAAATGACGTTTCAGTAGAATTACCAAGAAATAGTCCCATGTGGTGGTGGTAATGTGCCATGGAGTCAGTTCTAATTTATAGTGGCCCTGTATGGGTTTCTGAAGCTTTAAATCTTTACAGGAATAGAAAATCTCTTATTTCTCCCACAGAGTGATCGGTAGATTTGAACTACTGACCTTGTGGTTAGCAGCCCAACTTGTAACCCACTATGTTACAAGAGTTCCTAGTCCCAGGTAGCTGGGTACTTGTTTTATGAGAAACAGGGAATTTGAAATGAATGAAGGAAAGAATGCATACTTAAGGAATGGCATTGAGAAAATTGACATGAGAAAAATGTTAAACCAGTTCCTCACATTATAAGTGAAAGTAACTGTTAGATAGCTTGAAAGGCTGAATGTAAATTACTAGTTATAAAAACAATCTACTATGAAGAATAGTTATCATTCATATAAAAATCATATAAATGAGTTTGATAAAGTTAACCACATAAAGATCAGAAACCTTTTTAGGACAATGGATAACATTAAGTAATTTGAAGAATTAACCGACTTTAACATGTCTAACATACAAAGTTTGAAATTCAGGATGCTATACAAATATCTCCTACAAATGATCTGATAGAATAAAACTGGATATCCATTTGCAGGAAAATGAATCAGTACCCCTATTTCACAAAAACAAACTTAAATGGGTAAAAGATATAAAACCTAGAACTATAAAGATCATCAATTTAAAAAGGAAACACCTTACTGACCCTAATACATGTGATGAACACACTATTAAACGTAACTGAAAGCAAACAAACAGCAGAAGATAAACTAGATGACTGGGACCACCTAAAAAGTACACACTGAGCTCTAGTAGCATAGTGGTTACGAATCGGGCTGCGAACCTCAAGGTCAGCAGTTCGAAACTACCAGCTACTCCATGGGAGAAAGATGAGGCTTTCTGCTCCTGTAAAGATTTACAGCCTTGGGAACCCTGTTAAGGGTCGCTATGGGTCGGAACCGACTCGACGACACTTAAAAACAACAACAATATGAATCAAAAGATTTCACCAAAAGAGTAAAAAAAAGACCCACAGACTGGGGAAGAAAGATGAAGAAAATCAAAGCTGCATGCAAACAATAAGTCCAGTTGAATAATGGACCATGCAAACATCACTCTCCATGAAACCTGAGAACAGAAGAACTGGATGGTGCCCATCTACCACGGCAAACTTCTCTGAAAGGAACCACATTAAAAGTTCCAAGATAGAGTGGGGGGAAAATACAGAACAGAATCCAAAATCATAAAAATGACGAGGTTTACTAGTGGGACAGAGACTGGTAAAATATCTTAGCCACTCTTCAGGTCTGGAAAAGGACTCAATCCTTGGCTCAGTTTTCAGTCAAGCAATAAACAGCTCTATAAGGGGAGCAATAATACCAGGGAAACACGTAAACCTTAAAAAAAAAATCCACTTGCAATAAAAAGAAAAAAAAAAAGGCATCATTTATCAAAAACCAAAGTTCATAAGGGTTAGGAAAGAAGGAGAAAGGGAAACAGGAAACACATGAAGGAAACGGGCTCAGTACTGTTGCACTGTGGGGATAATAACCAATGACATGAAACAAAATGTGTATGAATTTTTTAATGGAAAACTGATCTGCTCTGTAAACTTCCAGCAAATGCACAATAAAAAGCTTTTTTTTTTTTTTTCTTTAAAGAACAAAACTAGAAAAATGTGTAAAGGATTGAACAGAAAATTCATAGAGGAATAAACAATATGAACAGATATTTAACTTCATTTTAACCAGGAAACAGAAAATTGCTAAAAACAATAAACGATTTAAATAAATAAATCATTAAAAATCACTAAATAAAGTTGTGCATATAACTGACAAATCTGTAAATGATTGATATCCTCTGATAATAGCAAGGATGTAGGGATATGGGTACTCTCATGTACTGCTTTCAGTTTTTGTATATTTTATAGACCATTTTAAGTCATTTTTGTCAATTTTCAGCATTATGTAACATCTACTACAGCCAGAATCTAGAATTTTCCATGACCTTTGTATCCCTTATAATCAATTTCCCATCTTCTGCCCCAAACAACTGATACACTGAAGGCATTAGCAAAGAACAAGGCTACAGGAATTGATGGAATACAAATTGAAATCTTACAACAAATTGATGCAGCACTGGAGGCACTCAATCATTTGGCCAACTGATTGAAAGAGATCCATATTTGTGTCCATTCCAAAGAGAAGTGACCAATGGAATGTTGAAATACCATTACTACCATATGCAAGTAATATTTTGCTAAATATAATTCATCAATGTCTGCAACAGTACATTGACAGGGAACTACCAGGGGTTCAAACCAGATTCAGATGAGGTTGTGGAATGAAGGATATCATTGCTGAGGTCAGATGGATCTTGGCTGTAAGTGGAGGATACCAGAAAGATGTTTACCTGTACTTTAGACTTAAAAAAGCCTTTCGATTTGTGTGGATCATGACAAGCTATGGACAACATTGGAGAGAATGAGTATTCTGAAACACTTAATTGTGCTCACTAGGAACCTAACATAGACAAAGAGGTTTTCGCTTGAACAGAACAAGGGGGCACTGAATGATTTAAAATTAGGAATGGTGTGGGCCAGGCTGGTTAAGTTACCATACTTATTCAGTCTGTACACTGAGCAAATAACTTGAGAAGCTGGATTATATGAAGAAGAAGATTGCAGCAGGGTTGGAGAAAGACTCATTAACAACCTGGGATATGCAGCTTGATACAACCTTGCTAGCTGAAAGCCAAGAAAACTTAAAATACTTATTGATAAAGATGAAAGACCACAGCCTTTGGTATAGGTTGCACCTCAATGTACAAAAACCAAAAATCCTGACCATTGGACCAATCAATAGCATCAAGGTAAACGGAGAAAATTTGAAGTTGTCAAAGACTTCGATTTGCTCCGACCAACCATCAACTCTTACAGCAGGAGTAGCCAAGCCAAGAAATCAAAAGATGTATTGCAATAGGCATAGCTGATGCACAAGACCTCTTTAAAGTTTTCAAGAGAAAAATGTAAGTTTGAGTACTAAGGTTCACCTGACCCAAACTGTGGTATTTTCAATAGCCTCGTATGTATATGAAAGTTGGACAATTTATAAGAAAGACCATAGAAGAACTGATACCTTTGAGTTATGGTGTTGGAAGAAAATATTGAAAGTACATGGACT